AACAAAGTTTAGGAGCATTGAGGACCCTAAATTTTGAAAGGTTTTGCTAAATACAGCCAAGGTTAAATCTATTCCTCGGGTTATCCTTAGTATTTCGAAAATTTCAAAGTTTATATAGGACAGTCACTCAAAAAGAAAGAAAGATATTAGAAAAAAATTAGAAATCAAGGTACCTCAATGATGAGCATGAATGCTTCAAAATCACGTCAAGCTCTTTCTGCCGTGTCCTAGATTTAGAAAAAAAAAATATGTAAAAATCACCTACCACGAGTAAAATCAATGTTTACGCATGCACGTAGTTTTCTTGCTCAAGAAATAGTAAATGGCAAGCATACGCACTGATATTCTGAATAAGAATATGCATATGCGTCATCACGTATATTTGTTTTAGGTTCAAATCTAATGTTAGTGAAATTCGGATGTCAAACTGCCTACCTCAAGTGGTTTGACTCCGGATTCATTGCCATTCAATCTGGAATTTGTGTCAACGCAAACCAATATTGTTGTCAAACCAGATTTTAAATCCGATTCTATTGTTTCGTGTGAACAGGGTGTAATAATAATAGTCATATTAGTAACAAATATTTGAGAAATTGTGAGTTTCTGCTGTATTCAGTAATATTTAAATTCGGTTTGTGATAATGTTCGTGTAGTTGTACTGTATTTGAAATTGAGGTTGTCCATTTTAAGATTTAAAATCACTAGCCCCAGACAAGGTTTATTTCATCGAGTGAAAGGTGGTATTGGATCACTTGTGTTAGATTTGTTAATTAATTCATCCTTTTTTTTAGGTTATAAACGTATGCACAAAATATTCTCTTATCCACAAGTGATGTCTAGTGTTAATTCTTTATTTCTTTGATTTAAATTATTCGATACATATATTTTAAACAAAAGTACGTATTTACAAAATCATCAGTCCCTTCCCTCCCTCCCCCATTTTGAAATTGAAATCGGGCTTCGAAAACACCGCTAATGTGATCTGATTCCTATATTAATTTTTTCTTAGGGGTAAGAGATACAGGGGAGACATTATTTTAGATCTCGATAGCTTCTATTTTTTTCAGTATTATAGATCAATGAAAAGATAACTAAATTTTAAATTATACATAAAAATGACAATTCATCAATATGATTTACCATCTCAAATGAAGGAACTGCTTATTGATACTTATTATTTCGAAAGAGTAAATTATCGGCATAAAGGTAATTCCCGGATAAGTGTATGCCATACGTAATCTAGATTCAAAATCAGAAGGAGTACATTGTATGTCCAAACCAAAGAAGATAATATTATAAGACAACATAAAGCAACATCACATGCTTCCGACAAAACATTTGGACGAAAATATAAATAACGAGAATATAAAAGTACTTTTCAAAAAGGAGCAGGTTGGTTGTGTTTGTCCTAGAAATGCCTTTATCTTTTAAACGAGAAGATTGAAAATATAAATCGAAGTCTCCAGGTAAAAATATAACCACGTTTTTCCTGAAATAGTCTGCCAAATTGTTCCTTTAACATTTTTAACATTATAAATTATATATCAGGCTTAATGCTAACTTTAAAAAGATACTGAAATATTTATCACAGTCAAACGTTGAATAAAAAGCCCAATTAGGGACCGTTAAATATTTATCAGAGGGATGGGCCGGTGCATTCTTAATACTGTTTCATTAAAAACGTTGATGCCCATCCTTTTAAATTCTGCAAAAAAAATGCTTGCCCATCTCAAAAATTGTATAAAAAAGAGCTTGCCCTCTAAAACTTAAAGACAATCAATAATAATTTAGGTTCTTTGTTCTATTTTAATGTTTGCATGTAACTTTATGTCTGGAAATCAATGAATAGACTTAGATGCTGTTCTTGGACCTATACAGGAAGTTTTATCTAGCACTAATTGTATATTTTTATTGTTGATATTCACGCCATATGTACCAAGTGTTAGATTAGTTTTATTGATATTAAAGAAATTTCTTGGTATTCCTAAACGGAAGAAGAAGTATACTTAACAACAAAATTATTTTTATTTACCTGTGTATAATATGACGCAGGTTTCTTCAAAAGTGATAATTTTCTATAAATTGTTTGAAATTTTACAGTGATATCATACTTTAACTTTGTTTAAACCTGTTTATTTACTTTTGAATTTAATTATTTATCCCTTGTAATTTTTTATTAACTGAACTTTTGCATTCAGGTGTCACAGGTCAAATTTATTCGTTCATTGTGTGTTAATTTACGTTTTTTGATTGAGTTAAGCCTTCCAATTGATATTTTATAGTGTGTTTTTCTATGTTGTGCTGTTATACTATTGTTTCAGAAAAGGGAGAAGGTTTGGTACCATTAAAACGTTTAATCCCGCTGCAAATGTTTGCACCTGTCCTAAGTCAGGAATCTGATTACAGTAGTTGTCGTCTGTTTATGTAGTTCATATATGTTTCTCGTAATTCGTTTTTATATAGATTAGACCGTTGGTTTTTCCGTTTGAATGGTTTTACACTAGTAATTTTTTGGGGCCCTTTATAGCTTGCTGTTCGGTGTGAGCCAATGCTCCGTGTTGAAAGCCGTACCTTGACCTATAATGGTTTACTTTTACAAATTGTAACTTGGATGGAGAGTTGTCTCATCGGCACTCATACCATATCTTCCTATATCTATTTGGTGTAATTCAAAATACAAAATGTGCTTTTCAATTCCATATATTGTTTAAATCCAGTATAAATATACATGTATAGATTTGATTTTATCTGAAGTGCAGCCTGATACAATATACATATAAACATCACAATTACATCTCAATACATAAGTAATAGTATACTATATCAGCCAGACTTTAATAAAGGCCTTTTTGTTCAAGGTTATTGTTGTTGTTTTTTAAATTGTTTAACATCTCAGAGTGGTATACTACTGTTGCCTTTATTTATTCACCCCTTATTTTATTGATTTTGTATTTATATTGTATCATAGATCGAATTTATTCGTTCAGTGTATGTTCACTTGTGTTAATATGTCCTTTGATTGAGTTAAGCCATTTCAATTGATATTTTAAAGTGTGTCTTTCTATGTTGTAATGTTACACTATTGTTTCAGATAAGGGTGAAGGTTTGTACCTATTAAAACGTTTAAACCCGCTGTATTTGTTTGCACATGTCCTAAGTAAGGAATCTGATGTTCAATAGTTGTCGTTTGTTGATGTGGTTCATAAGTGTTTCTCGTTTCTCGATTTTTATATAGATTAGACCGTTGGTTTTCACGTTTGAATTGTTTTACACTAGTCATTTTTGGGGCCCTTTATAGCTTGCTGTTCGGTGTGAGCCAAGGTTCCGTTTTGAAGACCGTAGTTTGACCTATAATGGTTCACTTTTACAAATTGTGACTTGGATGGAGAGTTGTCTCATTGGCACTCATACCACATCTTCTTATATCCAATTAAGAATTGCTAACAATGTTCATACAAGTCATAAACATATGACGAAATATTAACCATACTATTAAATATACTAAGTTTATATTTATTCTGAAATCTGAGGTCTTTTGTCAATTTGAAACAGTTTAATGTATCTCTCTTTAAGTCTTTGTTCTATTAAATAATTGCATAAGTGGTAGTTTTTAATGTTAAAAGCAGAATTATCATTTAAAAGTAGCAATGTCTGTAATATATCATACTATGTATAGTCATGTATATGTAGAAAACATTAAAAAGCAGGAGTTGTTTCCCCTGTTCAAGAGCAAAAATGATTGATTCATATCAACATATACATTAAAATCTGTGTATTTATTATTTATAGTGCTAGATTTAGTCTGCATAGATTGTTGCATCTATCAATATCAAATTGAATTCAGAACATAGTATAGACAAGATTAAAACATGTAAAATCCATCAACGATCTTTTTTAAAATGACAGTAAATTATATTGTTAATCAATAAATTATCTCCCCTTTCTAATAGTTTTGTATTGAATTCAGATCTTTTTTACATTTTTACTCAAGTCCATTTAAAATATGGGAGGTATACCTAATCTGCATATCTTTTAATTGCACCACAAAAACTCATTAAATAAAACCTTTTGGATTTCCTTAAATACAGGTACCATAATTATATCCTGCTTGGTTCTTGAAATATAATAGAAATACTTGTACACTGTAAGAATGGTGTTTGAAATATTTCGGAACAAAATATTGCTAAATAAATTTATCCTACATCTGTCTTTAATTTTAATATAGAATATCATCCATACTATAAAATTATCTATCATTGAAACATGTATTAGAGGACAGCCTATATATGGTATTATTTAAAGAAGAACAACTAATTCACATTTTTTTAGATGCATGTGCTCTTGAAGTTATACTGTCATTTTGAAATTAGTGAATATAAGTCAGTAGGCAAATCTATTTCTATAGTTATTTTATATTTTTTTGCATTGATCAGAAGCTATATACTGAATATATCAAACAAGTATAATTTTACAAGTTTTAATACATGGAAGATAACCCCATTCATGTGAAAATTGTTGGTTGATCAAAGTTTTAAAATGTTGTCGTGTTTTCATGTTACATGATTAAATTAGGCGCCATTAAATTATTTCTAAAACGTTGTGTTTTTATGTTACATGATTTAATTATTTCTAAAATGTTGTGTTTTCATGTTTCATGATTTAAAACATTAAAATCATTACTTTTGTTTTTATCGTGTTTTTTTGTGCAATTTCCTACAAACCGATAAAATTTATAGCAATTTTTTTCCCTATTAAATACGTTCTGGCCCATCCACTAAACATATTAAAAAAAGATCTGGCCCATCGGATCCAAATATTTGCACAAAAAAGTGCTTGCCTCGCCCCATTTTGCACAGGCCCATCCATTTGATAAATATTGAACGGTCCTTTAGTCAACAACACCCAACTGTGCAACTACAGAGACTCTTACACAAATAGAATAGCTAAATGACTGAATGAATTTTAACTTCCTGGTTTGTTGTTACGTGTAGTCAACACATGATATACACAAGGATAACAATGGCTGACTCGAATGTTCTGAAGGTAAATATTAACACGTGTATTGATTCCATTAATACGTAAATGTTTGTAGTGTGTACATGTAGCTCATGCACACAAGTTACGTTTGTTGTTTAGTTCCAATAATCATGAATAATTGAACCGTGAATTCTTCAATAGCATATTATTTTGTAAATAGTAGTTTATTACCTGTCACATGATGCAATTGGATAGTTACAACAGAAAACAATAGTTACTGTCCAGTCAAATGATCTGTAAATAGAAACGTTCGTAGAAGCGACATAAAAAGAGGGTACCCCCCTCCTCCTTTTTTGATTGGAAAATATATAGTTTTAAGCTTAAAATCGTCGCAAAAAAATTCATGCTAACTTTTCTTGAATAACAAGTTAACAGCTATAGATCAACAGGAATACTGCATTTTTCGCCTCTCATTCAGTGAACGGCCTTCAACAATGAGCAAACCCATACCGCATAGTAGTCTATAAAATGCCCTGAAATGACGAATTCAAACAAAAATTTAAACGAGAAAACTAACGGCCTGATTTATGTACAAAGTATTAAACGAAAAACAAATATGATATACAGCAACTAACATACGGCTACCACTGAATTACAGGTTAGGCACATACATAATGTTACAGGGTTAAACATAAATTTGTCGTAAACATTCAATTAAATACATTTGGTCTTTTTATGACTATTTTGATTATCTTTAAAAAGTCTACAATTTCAATATTGGCAGCTTATTTCAGTTCATGTTGCGTACGTATTTTATGGAAGTTATTGTCCTTGAATGACAATTATTACCTATATTTTGTATTTTGGGCAAACACTTTTATAAAGAGTAGCTGAGCACAGCAAACATATCAGCAATAAAAAATAACAGAAAAGAGAATCATAATTTAGTCTTCAATGTTGAAAATACACTTGCATGTAGATCCAGGTAATAGACAAATTTTATGCACCTGTCCTAAGTCAGGAGCCTGTTTTTCAGTGGTTGTCGTTTGTTGGTGTGGTTCATACATTGTAAGTGTTTCTCGTTTGTTTCTCGTTTTTATATAGATTAGACCGTTGGTTTTCCTGTTTGAAATGTTTTACACTAGTCTTTTTGGGGCCCTTTATAGCTTGCTGTTCGGTGTGAGCCAAGGCTCCGTGTTGAAGGCCGTATTTTGACCTATAATTGTTTACTTATTACACATTGTGACTTGGATGGATAGTTTTCTCATTGGCACTCATACCACATCTTCTAATTTATAAAGACTCTTTATAGCCTCTAGTCAGTCATAAAAGGGCTTTCAGAAAAATTTGAATATTAATGAATTATCAGAGTACAAACTAGATTCAACATTAGATTCTGCCAATGAGTCAGAGAGTGAAATATATTTGGACCCAAATCATACCTTCTTATTTCCCGTACAAAGGAACCCGTATTCGACTACATATTTAAGCCAATACTCTTCTATATATTATTCTATTTTACAGAAGGACAATACATACACGTTTTGCATGTTTTTGCTATATTTATAACAATATATATCTATACCTTATAATCGAAATTTGATATAAAGTGTAATGCTAGGAAAACATAAAACTGGACTTTGATGAAATGGAACGAGTTCAAACTGAAGCAGCCTGCTAAAATCTAGATCTCAGATTTCGTTATGCTCATATCCAACTCATACGTATGTACATGCAGTTTCACCTCTGAAGGATTTTGCACGTTACTTTTTCAACCAATCAGAATTTGATTTACTGATTCTAGAAAGTGACACCCGGAACATAAAACGAGTAAGGTTTATTGAAATGTCCCGGAAATATCCAAAGATGACATCAACAGCTTATCGCTTCGAATGCATATGGTTGCACAAGTATATCTTGCCATCGTAATAACATCTCACGATTATAGTATACTCCGATAGTGGATAGTTACAATAGAAATGGATAATTGAAATATGAGCCGTTTGTCATTCTTTTCAGTTGCACCCCATGACCTCAACGAGTTGACTGTTGAGGTCGGATCGTAATAATAATAATAATAATAATATGATATATATAAGCGTACCAAAAACACTTTTTACACTGTATAACTTTACCAACAATTCTTGTGAACTTTGTATTAAGTTATTTTTTTCATTTCAACTGTCTTGTGTTTTTCATTTTATTTAATCTCAGTGTGTATTTTTGAAATCTCAGTGTATTTTAAATTCTCAGTGTGTAATTTTATATTCTCAGTGTGTAATTTTAAATTCTCAGTGTGTGTTTAAAGTGTTTTAATCTCGGTGTGTAAATTTTTCGAACAATGGCTCAAACATTGTTTTGATGAGAACGGCTTGCCATAGTAAGGGATACAAAAAAAAGTAAATTGGTCTATCCATAGATGTATAAATTTTTATGAGACGTCCAAACAAATAATAAAAAAAAATACTGATTTTTATTTACATGGAAATGTTGGCTCTCTACAACTCCTAAAATTCTCAAGGTTTGAGCTGTCAAAACAAGCCTCAAATATATTAATCAGGATGACTAAATAGTCATCTGCACCAGTAAATAAATGTAATTTGGAACAATCAGTACCCCTGATAGATTTACTCTTTTACCAGACGGACATGTTCACCTTACAATAATTCCATAAACCAATTATTGGTACCCTATTGCTAATAGAATCATAAAAACAGACTTAACCATGATAACGTAAACATGTTTTGTAAGGGTTTTTTGTGCTTTGTTGTGGTTTGGCACCAGCAAACATATTTAACCCAGCCACATGCTGTATGTGCCTGTCCCACGTCAGGAGCCTGTAAAACAGTGGTTGTCGTTTGTTGCTGTATATTACATTTGTTTTTCGTTTATTGTTTTGTACATAAATCAGGCCGTTAGTTTTCTCGTTTGAATTGTTTTACATTTGCCATTTTGGAGCCTTAAATAGCTTGCTATGCGGTATGGATTTTGTTCGTTGTTGAAGGCTATTCAATGACCTGTAGTTGTTAACTTCTACGTCATTTGGTCTTTGGTGGAAAATGGTCTCATTGGCAATCATATCACATCTTCTTATTTTTATATTAACATTAACCAATGAACCATAAAAATTAGTTCATGGTCAGATGAACCCTGCCAGATTGAGATTTATACCTTACACTAATTCCTTATATCAAATATAGTTGACCTACTATTTTACATGGTATATGAGATACAGACTTGATGACTACTACTTGAGGTCGAGGTATCATGGACCCTATTTCACTGACATGAAGACCTTGCAAGGATCACATATACCAAATAAAGTTATCTTTTTAGTAGTATTACTCATAAATTAACATGACAAAACCATTAGTTTTTAGAAGAGTCGATGACAATGGATACATGCATACGAATACGAATACTTTATCAAATCCAATTAAAGGGCCCGTTTCCGAGTATATACCCATATACGTAGATATAGTATTAGTTATACAGTAATTTGTATAATATATTACATTGGGTCTCTGGTGGAAAATAGTCTCATTGGCAATCATACCACATCTTCTTATTTTTATATTAACATACAATACATTGAAAATAAATGAATAAATAACTATCCTCCAAACAAAATGGGGTTCAAACATAAAACAATATTAACCCTTAAAGTTTGTAATACATGAAACATAAATTACATCCTTATTACATGTATATTTAGTCACTGGAATGCAAATGTTCTCTTATTTCAAAACAAGTACTAATAAATCTTGACACTGGTATATTAACATTTCAGATTCACTGGACATCAACCAAATAAGAAAATAGCTATATGACTGACGAAAACGGCATCTTTATACAAGGTATTATGCATCAAGGTCGTCTTCTATCATCTGAAATATTAAACTTTATAAAAAGGGTAAATAGTGTCTTTGCAGCTGGATTAGCATCAGTAGATCTCTTATTCTGCAACTTCTGTAGCAGGAAAGACTAAAATAGAGGCTTGAGAGAAATAAAGCTTTCATAAGAGCATCATGGTGGTAGACTAGGACAGAAGGTCCAGAGGTTCACTCTTATTTAACTCATTAAGTCTGTAGATTGTCGAAAGAAGAGTATTTAGATACATGAAGTATAAAGTCTGATTAAGATCATCTATCGTTCTTACCAGAAGCACAAATATGCATTTAACTTTTTCTGATTATTACTATTTAGCTTTTTAATGTTAAATGGCCAAGAAAAATGTACTCTGTGCATGTTTGTTTATGGTTTCCCCACATATCCTATTATTAGTGTTCACTCTAACACTTTTTAGAAAATATATTCTGCATGTTGATGAAAGAATGTTTTACTATTTGTTAATTTACTGAGATAAAGTATAATATACCAAAAATCTTATTGATATTAGAGGAAATTTACAACTTGACATACCTTAATGCGAGTCAATTTCTAGGACCCACAGCTATGACAGCTTAACTTGTCTTCGTTAGCTAATCCTTGAAATATTTACTTGCTTACCATAAACAATGGGCCTTGGGTTATGGACTCCCCCTTTGTCATTTTCTGTGTAAGATAGTTTCATCTACATGTATGATTTATGTCTGATATTTTCAAAACAAAAATTCCCCATTTTTTCAGCTGAATATTGTTTGTGTAAGGCACATAACGAATAATTCATGTTTAGATTAATGTGTTTTTGCTACTAATTACACATCATTACATTTTCAACAGTTCATATGCTCCACGTTTGAAAATACATGTACAAATATACCGAAAAAACAGAAAATATAAAAGGGGGTCCATGCTCACAGCATAGTTTGAACATATATTCATTTACCCTTGCACTTTTTTAGATGGCTGTACATGTACCTCTGTCTGCAGGCTTGCTATCAATTCCTAGCTGTAGTTTTCATACTTGGTCTTCAAACATATATACCACAGGACAACAATCTATGATTCTATCACCGATGTTCGTGTATGACCCACTCCCATACATTTTTTTGTAGGTCGTTAACAAGGACGATTCTGATTGGTCGATATCAATTCTTTGAAAGGTCAGCTGTAAAAAGGTCACAAAAGTGAAACGAGTATACCATGAGTGACAGATCTTCGACGAGCACACGAGTTTCGATAGATCTGTTTAATCAGATTGAAAATGAAGAAGAGTCTCGCGCACCTATCACAGTAATTAGTCGAATTGCTGGTCCTAGTAGTGAAGATGAAGGGTCGACTGACTCAGAGGAAGATCTACAAAAATTAACAAGCCAGGAGATAAACTTAGCCTCTCCTTTCAATGAACAAAACATCGCATTGGTTTTTGGTGAAAGTAAGCTGTATGTACAAAAGGAGCATCTTATAGCCGTGTCGCCTGTGTTTGAGACAATGTTTAGTTCTAAGTTTTTGGAAGGATCGTTAAAAGAAATACCCTTACCTAATAAAAAACTAAGTCATTTTGTTCATTTCCTACGTTATCTGTCTCCAGGATTCGATGATGAACTTACAGGTAAACACGAATAGAGTTGCCAAAAGAACTTGCAAAGACTTAGTATCTTTGAATTTTTTCTATATATATTAATTCTTCTTTTTGCAACTTGTGAAGGTGTTTCGAAAACCTGATACTAGTAATAATTGATAAATTCAAGTTACAATCATTAATTATATATAGACCTGGTCTGATTTTTTCCGTTACTCAATGAATAACAATATAAGGTCACATTTATCAAAAAAAATATGTAAATAAAGCAAACAAGATTGCAACGCCTTAGTGAAATGTTTCCCTCGCTGTATAAATGAGGAATTAAAATGCTTGTCACAATTTGTCATTGTGTTACGATAGTCAAAATATGGTGACATTCCTATAACTCCTATCAAAATTATCAAATCAAAACGATGATATAATATGGTCAACTACACATGATGGAAAACAAAAGTTAAAAGTATTAGAGCTTTCTGTCTTATGGTTTCAGAGGATTTGCGTTCACAAGGTCATGATGGTGTTATTGTCACAATAGAAAAAAAAAGTTAAAGTCCAATAACACCTGTAAAAACGTCGGATCAAAATGATTACATATTATGGTCAGCAACATATGATTTCAACAATAGTAGTATGAGAGTTTTCTGTAACTGTAATTGTAACAATAACTCATTATATACTGTAAAAATGGTCGAATCAAAATGGCGGTACAATGTGGTCAACTATGCATGAAGGCAAATAATCCTACCAAGTGTGAGAGTTTTCTATAAAATGAAATCAGAGGAGTTGCTTTCACAAGGTGTTATTGTTACAGTACTAAATAAAAATGGTTGAAATCCAAAAAACTCGTGAAATCAGACTGACAATTTAGCAAGATCAGGAGAATGAATATGATGACAAATTATCCTACCAAGTATAAAAGCTTCATGTCAGAGACATCTGAGTATTGATGTGTTTTGAACGGAAGGACAGACTGAGATCATGACCATATCCACCTCGGCTCGACACTCGAGGGACAATAAACATACTAAAATGGCCAAGCTATGGCACCGGTTTGACGATACTGTTTCGGTTTCATAAAAAGCTGTCGAAAGTAGAAAAACCTTGATGATCTTTGATAACATTTCTTTACATTATTATCGTTGTAACGGTCGTTATCAAAATAATGATGAGTAACCTAAAGTCGCTTTCGGTAATAAACACGAACAAATGTATCATTTATTTTCTTGTTTAGTATGTCAGCTCGCATAATCTTGCAAATGCATCACTAACTGTATCAGCTCACCACCCCATTCCTAATCCCCATCTACTTGAAAATACTGTTGTCCAAACAGAGAACGACACTTAAGATTGTGCTTGCTTCTTTAATTTCTCCATTTCGTATTGAAATGACACTAAGTTTTGTCTTTTATTGAAGTGTATGTTGCCCTTGGGATTTATTTTGATTATTTGTTTCGACCACCGTGTTGATGACTCATTGCTATAATCACGATTTAAGAGATAAAATAAATATATAACATAAAATTTACATTAATGCATATTGTGTAAAGTTTTATTTAGAAAAGGTATGTTTTATCAAATGCAAATGATTTATTTGTTGTAGTCTTTGAGAAATAATTGCATTTGTTTTTCAGAAGCCACTGTTCATCACATGTTGCATTTAGCTGACGAATATCAAACTGATGATTTAAAGAAAAGGATTGACGAGTTTCTTGTCCGACAAGTTTACTTCAAATCAGATTCGATCACATCAGAACAAATTATCGTAAAAATTCTTGAAGCGGAAAAGTACAAAGTAAATGGCTACCTGAATGAATGCATTGCTGTTGCATCACGGAAAAAATTTCATAGCTTGACAAAAAGTCGGAAATTTGGAGAAATATCTCAAAAAACTCAACTTGAAATTAGTTTCAAACGGTGGGATGATATCGATAAGATTTATGATAAGGCAGTAAATGTGAACCCCAATTTTATAGCTTGTCAGAAAGCAACTTGTAGTGGTACTGTTATAGAAGCTAAAAGGGGGCGTGGAGTTCAAATAACACATGTTGGCAAACACGTAGGGCCGGTTCCTATGGTACTAAAACCGAGGCAATATGATATTGCTATAACGGAGGTTGGCAAACACTTTAAACCACACATGCAAGAGAACTAATTACTGTTTCCGATCTAAATGAATTGATATTATCAGATTATTACATGGCATTTTTCATATCCGATGTATTATCAGCCCAAGGTTCAATATCAGCCCAAGAGCCGAAGGGCTTAATAAAACGAACATGAATTAATAGCAGTTGATCGGAACTGAAATACACATAGTTAATTTTCTGGGATTTGATGTCTTATCCTGAGACGAGAAAAGTCTGTAATTCTTTATCTCATTTAAGCCAATAGCTGTTGCTGTATCTCAGCCGCATCATAAAGCAACCAATCAGAATCTATATGTGATTAGTAATTATTTCAAGATGGCGTGTATATCGATTGAAACTAATAGTTCCGCACCGTGATGCGAGGCATATATATTGATCCTCTTAAGTGGTCGTCAAGTAGAAGTTCAAAAAATGAAAAGTTTACGGACGTCGGACACCAAATGTAATAAATCCGATATGAAATCTTTCTATCATATGCCTCAACAAGGAAGAAAAACAACAGTATAAAATATTTTTATATTGACAATAAAAAATTTCAACAAAACATTATGAACACTGTTTGAAAAAGTCAACATTTGAAAAGTAACTTTCTAAATTATGCTTGAAACTTTGAAAAATGCATTTATTGTATCATTTGTTTTTTTGCATTTTACATAATATATTTTCCTGTTTCCTAATAATTTTTTTGTACCCTACTTTGTAATGTTTTTCACTGAAAACGTACCATTGAGGTGTATTCCGGAATTTGCCCAGTAACGCCGAAATGCCATGCGATAACGTTACGGAAAGGCATGTGATAATAGTCGGAAGCATGTGATAAATTTTTCATATCAGCCCGCTAAACACCATTTCGGAAAATATGGAATTCACGTAAATTTAATGCTATTATCATACTGTAAAAATTACAAGTTATTTACTCTGTCGGATAGGAAAACTGTAGTTGAAGCTTTAATTTAATTTAATAACAAACCAGAGTCGTACGAAGAAGTGACATGCAAGCCAGTTTGACAATTGTTCGAAATTGTCATTATGGGACTGTCTGTAAGACGGAATTTTGACCGTTTCGAAAAAATGGAACTGGAACTGTTTATTTCCATTTATTTGTGTTTACAAACTATTATACATAAATATACTGTACTGAAATGTACATGAAATATTTGCCACTTACTGTAAAGCATCCTAAAATCAATCAGCCACCAAATGAAAATAAACATACTGATTTTGATATGAGTCTATTCTGGCTAAAAATTAATCAACATTTAAATGTATATGTTGTGTACAAGTTCTGATTTTGTACAAATCATAATGTGTACAATAAAAAAAAAATACAAAATAAGGCTTAATTACACTTATAACTTGTACAATATTTTACATAGAATAAGTTTTCAAATCAAATGATAAAAAATCATTTTAATTTTAATTATGAATCAATATGAAACACACTGATAACTCTATCTACGGTACGTTGCTGAGGAAGCTGCACGCAAAATTTGCTCCTGTACAAAATCGCTACAAAATCGGTTATAAACAACCAAACAACTAAAATATACGATTCAAAACGGTAAGAAGATTCCGTTTGATATTAACTCTTATCTTAGTGTGATTCATTTGACTCTATATTCTTTAAAACAGTTTTCTACAAAATACTTAGGCAAAACGAGAAAGAATGTATCTATAGCCATAACGTCACTATACGTTGGAACATTGAGAACAATCGGATAACCAAAGCAACGTCAAAAATGGCCGAAAATACTCAACAAGCCGACGATGAGCTATCGGGAAACCTCTTATATGACAAGGATACTAGAGCTATTCTTATGGAAATTCTGAAGTCGTTGCGAGTCCTAACGCATATGGTCGGGACAATAGAGAAAGAAGTACAGAAAATCGATAATATAAAGGAAAGCTGGTCAAACTTGTCTACAAGAGTACACACAACAATCATCGAAATTCAAGAACGCAATAGGCAAGTTGAAGAAAGTGTAGAAAAAATGGGACATATCGTAGATATTATGGTTTATAAATATTCAACAAATGTAGGAGAGATATCTGAGATAAAAGAATAGATAGAGGCTATAGAAAAGGAAAGTGGAACACGCTCAAACATCGACATTAAAGAATTACAAGCCGAAGTGCTGGATCTCAAATGCAGAAGCATGAGTGACAATCTAATATTCTCCGGTGAGCGTTTCAACGGGAAGAGATATGTCAATCGAAAATACAGAACTTTATAACAAACGAACTTGAAATACCGTATAAAGTTAATCTCGGTAAGGGGTCATCCATAATTATCAACCATTTTCCAAAGTGTACAAAACGTACACTTGGGGGGAGGGGGTTAAAAAATCAACATTTTTACCGTACGCTTTTTTTTTATTTCCGGAATGCTTGATTGCTTGCTTTCAGTGTGTTTTCTTGGTATATAATCTGCGTGTAAATGCATCTATCCCATTCATTAAAACCAACAAAACAACAAAATGGTATCTTCATACTCTTATTCTGACAAAATACAAGCATCACAGATAGATGTCATCAATATAAACAGTCAGATATGTTTCAGTTTATTTTCAATGCAAATTCTATATTAAACTAACTATATTAGGCAGGATCTTCTTTTTATTAAGAATGATTGATTCTTGTCTTGAAATCTGAAAATGGTTGATGTACACTTTTCGAGGGAGGGTGGGGGGTCTGAAAAATTGTATGTTTTGTACACTTCGGAAAATTGTTGACAATTATGGATGACCCCTAACGTTCATCGTTTTGGGGAACCCGGACTAAATGGACCCCGTCCTATTGTAGCGACATTTATCCCCAGAGATGAGCTTGAAGATGTACTTAACAATACATTGAAGTTGAAAGGGAAACGATTTGGGATAAGCGAACAGTTCCCGATTGAAATTGAAAGAAAACGGAAAGAACTCTACCCAGTAATGAAGAAGGCCAGGAGTGAGGGTAAAAAAGTAAAACTGGTAAGAGATAAATTATATATCAATGGAAAACCACACTTATCAGTCGACACCAAACCAAACGGCATTGAATATAGGGATGTTCTACTACGTGAAGCCCAACAAAATTCGTCTAGAAACAAAACTGTAAATGGGCGCCCTTTCAAAAGGTCCCGTCAGGAATCTGGAAACAACGACACCATTAATGAAGAAACCATAACCACGCGGATGTAGGACGGGTCGAGAGAGTCCTCGAAAAATCAGAATGATCAGTTAAATTACTTAAAACTTACTTGTAGTAATTGTGGTGGAATGAAATCAAAACTCAAATATCCTGAATTTACTGAACTGCTTTATAAAACGGATATTGTTGGCATTGTAGAAACACAACTAGACGATATCGATGATATAAAATAACAGGGATATAAATTCATTTTCAAAAATAGAAATAAAATCGGCAAAATAAGATCAGGTGGTTTAGCTGTAGCGTACAAACATCATCTCAAAGATAATATTAAATATATCAAAACTGAAAGTAAATTTGTCTTGTGGTGTAAAATATCGAAAGTTTTTAATAGATCAGATGACATTCTTTGGGAATTATTTACACATCCCCCCTGAATATACCTCATATTCATCCATTGATGCAATAAACGAAATTGAGATGGAATTCTTGGAACTATCAAATAGGTTTTCAAAAATTTCACTTGTTGGTGATTTTAATGCAAGAACCGGGTCCGAAGATGATTTTATATTTGTTCCAGATAGTGAATCTAATGTCGTAGATATTGATAATATACCAATAAATGCTGTTTGCACTTTAGACCAGTATGAATTCTCTCGCAGTAAGGATAAAAACAAGAATTCAATAGGTTTGGAAATCAACTACTATAATTTTGCAAGGGAAATAACTTCTTCATCATGAATGGGAGAAATCTAGGCGACATAGATGGAAAGTTCACATGCCGTAATTCAAGCGTTGTTGGTTATTGCCTATGCAGCGCAGAACTTATCCAAAATTTTACCGATTTTAAAGTACTTGATTTTTCATGTCTCTACTCAGATGTTCATTCTCCAATCGAGATTTTTCTGAAACAAACTGTTCAAGAAGTTAACATCAAATGTAGCGACGATACTAGAACAAATGAACAAAAAATAAATAATTGGACCAATGAAAAATCACACAAGTTCCTAGAATGCTTGAACCTTACAGAAATAGACAATATTAATTCTGAAATTGATTGCACTGCAGTAGTGACGCAAGAAGCAGTAGATATAATAATCAATAGTGCTAATAAACTCAGCGGGAAAAACTTTTGGGTAAAAAGTCAATGCAGGAAAGAAGTCAGAAAATAGCAAAAATAAACCAGTTTGACCATGACTGCAAAGTCGCAAGGTCAGAGTTCCGTAAGATGAAACGAAATAAAAATAGGTCACTGTTCCACAGAGCACTAGCCACAGATGCCGAGAAGCGATATAAAAAGACAATGAACAAAGCTCATAAGAAATACAGAAGAGATTTCAGAAAGAAATGGATTATCTGAAGCAAAAGGATGCAAAGGAATTTTGGCGACTTCTTAATTCAAACAAAAGTACAGCTCAACCTAAGATAGATTTCGACAAATTGGTCTCATATTTCAAAAAATTAAACCGTAATCAGCGAGAGGATGCAGAAGAACAACAAAATGAAATTAATATTAATATAAACAGCTTCTCTTAGGGTAGGTTGTAAATCAGGAACTTGTGTAACGGACAAAGAAGAGTCATTAATATATTCTATTTGGTTTCTGCTTAAGACTCCTGATAAATTACCAGCTATTGTCCCTATACGATAGCCAAAATGTCCTACTTCCACAACAACACGTTGTATGTTCCTCGGATCGGTCGGTGCTGCCCTCTACAGTTGAAGTCAGCAGAAATTATAGGTTTAACAACAAGTTTTGATATTTCAGTACGTTTTTGTTTCAGGATACACTGTTTACAGTTTGTTGTGAATATGCGTATTGCTTCCCGGCTAACGTTAGCAAAATATTTTTGAGTTCTTTGTTAGTTTTATGGAGACCTCCATGACCAAACCCAACAAACTGAAAATACAAATAATTAATTGTAAGTTTTTATTGTACACATTATAATTTGTACAAAATGATATTTGTACACAACATATATAAAACAGCAATTTCTGTACTTATATTAGCACTAAATTTGAAAATATAAAAGAAGGCCATACATTTGTTTAAACCCAGCTTTGAACTATTCATATCCTAAGAAAACAATGGCATATATCAATGCCGACTCCATCATGATTTATTTCAAGAAGCCAAAAAAAAAAAAAAAAATACCGACCTCCAAGGAAAATTCAAAACGGAAATTCCCTATCAAATGTCAAAATCAAAAGCTCAAACACATCATACGAGTGGAAAACAACTGCCATATTCCTGGATTGGTACAGACATTTCCTTATTTAGAAAATGATTGATTAAACCTGGTTTTACAGCTAGCTAAACCTCTCACTTGTATAAAAATCGCATAAAATTCCATTATATTGACAACAATGTGTGAACAAAACAAACAGACATAATAGGTGAAAATGTCAGCATGATTTTTTTCAATTGTGAGATGAAACTTGCTCCAATGATAATAATTTAAAGTGTAAGTTTACTTAACAATTCATGATGAAAAATGTTGGAGTACTTTGGACATGCAGTTTGTTTGTGTCAACTCCAACTTCTCTTAAACATTCTTGAAACTTATTAAGTAAATTATTGTTTTCAAAGTGCCTTTGTTTTAATAAATAAAATTAGGAGATATCGTATAATTGAAAATGAGATAACTATACAACAGATTTCTGATGATGTTTCTTAAACAAAAGTAATTGTCCAATAAAAAAACCACTTCTTCCAAATTCGGACGGTCTTAATGTATAGGTCTTTCTATGAACATACTTCCGAAATTCCGAATCTGATTTTCAAATTACAATTGTAAACGAATTATTTCCCTTGTTGAAGTATACCGGTTAAAAGTACAGGTTTGCTGAATTTTTGACTGCGGACAGAATAATTTCACTACCAAAGTCCATATCCGTACGGGGACGGTAATACCTAACACATCGTGTAAGAAAATGCCACATCCAGCACGTTAAAAATACCCTTGAAGCAACTATTTTCGTATTATCAGTAAAATTAGTTAAGTTTCCATACTTACACAACGCTCCATAATCTATTCGAACAGCGGCAACTAATTGTTTTTCTGTGTCGCATCATCCCGAAGAAACCTTTATCAGTTTAGTTTAAACATATT